CGCAAATGGCTACCATATTGAAAAATATACTATTTTTGTATGATAATTATGGGTTTTGTATTTTATTTTAATAGAAGTTGATGTTGCTTTTGCAATTATCCATCAATTTTTTAAAATTAAACACTATCTACAGATTTGCATCGAAGCGTTTCTTATGATAGTGATTTTAATCACTGTCAGATTAAATCTATACTGAACCCAACTATGCAACTATACAACTCGTTGTTAAAGGGGCCTCATAGCGAAATTTTTTTTTTTTGTATATGTATTTGTTTAGCGTTGATGATGATAACATTATGCCCGAAATACGTACAAGCAATTTTTTAGTAGTTTTTGTGAGTTAAATATTTTTTTAGTTTTAAACTAATACCTTAAATATACTTTTAATTTTAAAGCAGATTATTTTTACATTTTTATAAATTAATGCGAAATGTTAAAAAGATACAGTAAGGAAATATGTATATATTTTTCCAAAAAGTACAAAAAAAACATGATTAAGCTAAGAAGTTTTATCTAATTAAAACTCGTCTAATACACCGATTATTGCGGCCTGTATAGCTCTGACATAGCCGAATAGATTTTTAGAGTGAGTAACTAAGTTAAATTTATATAATGAAATTTTTTTTGGTCGGTAAAAATTCATATACATTCAATACAAGCCAAAGTATAGACTTAGTAGACTTTTTTAAGGTGTAAGAAAATCTTTCTTTTAGTTGTATTCTGATAATAGTTTTCCATTAACAAAAACGTTAAATTAGAATTATTTATTAATATCAATAAATTTATTGTTTAATTCAGTGGTGTTCTCAGATTTTCGTCCTTAGTAGATAATAATATATACAAATTTGTTTACTACTCGCTCAAAAATATAAATCTTCACCAAATATTTATTTTTATCATGGAGAGTTTTATTCTTATATTCCTCCCGTAAGAACGCTCACGGTTTAACAAAAATAAATAGTTAATATTTTACCTTTAACTCAAAAATTTAACTACCATTAAATAGGAATAAACTATAACATGTATTCAATAGTAGGATTTGTTATAATCGTAAAAAATGTATTGCGACATTTTCTCCAATTAATACGATCAATTTTTCTAAGAACTTGTTTGAGATTGCGTAAAAAATAGTTACACCTAGATCTTTTTATAACTATATTTTTAACAACAAATGACATTACGGAGCTTAATTTTTAAAAAGATAAAAATAAATACGCGCGTAAAGTTTAGAGCCAGAAGTCAGGAAGATTATTGGACTAAAGCCATGTTTTAGGACTTTGCCAAACGTATAACGTTACATTTTAATAAATTTATTTATACATGTATCTAACAGGTATACTTTAAACTGCTATAGTATAAAAACTAGAAACGTGTATTTCAATAAGTAAAAGGACAATGGAAATTAGTTACTAATAATGTAATGAACATTATTCTTTCGTATCTTTCAAACCTAAAACAAATTAGATGATTTTTTTTTTTTCATAAGAGGTGAAACAAAGGTTTTTTATATTTCTTAGGATTTTAAAGTTTTCAGTTACATTTACACTGATAATAAAAAAACACCATTTTATTAAAAAACTAATACGTAAATTATTTTACTTATAAATAAAAGACTATTTACAAGCTTACTAAAATCTACTATTATATCATGTTCAAATATTTTGATATTTAAAAAGACTGCTTTTAAAAAAATAATACATGATCTATTAATATTTAGTTTCTATCGTCAAAGTTTTAAAAGAACAGGAAATCATTAAAAATAAGTAATAAAGACCTACAGTCCAACTAGAAGGAAATTACAGAAGAAATATAATAATAGAAGAGGAAACAGGCAACATCCGACACATCTGGATATCATATTACTACAGATTTGAACAGGGTTGATTATTCTCGAGGGTGAACAAAAAATATAAACCTGGACAAATAGAACTGAGGCAAACTAGGACACTTTTTCTTTTAAAACCCCCTTTTAAAACATCGGTTTCTGTTGAAACTTATAGGTACTATCACTAATTGCAAAAATACATTTGCCTGGAAAATTTCAGCTGTCTTGTAAGTAACAAAATTAAGATGATTTAACAAACGGCTCTATGTATATATAGGGTGTTCAGTAATAAGGAAACGGGTTTCTAGTAGTGATGGAAAATATCGAATAGTAACTATCGAACTATTTGATAGTTGTCCACTATTCGATAGTCATTCAAAAACTATTCAATAGTCTATGCGAAAAATAAGCTATTCGGTTGTATAAACACAATTCGAATAGTTAATTGATAGTTTAAAATAAATGAAAATGCCCATCACTAATTTTTACTATTATTAATTGTATAATAATTTATTTTAAGTATTCGTTAATTATTTTCTCATAATAATTTTGTATTATAATATAATAATTATAATCTTATAATAATGAATAAAAATTTTTAAATAGAACTAATCGAATATTTTTTGAAACCATTCGGTAGCCCATTCGATAGTTTTAAAATACTATTCAATAGTCTAAGATATTCGAAAATGCCCATCACTAGTTTCTAGTGTTTGTTTCCTTACCTATATTGATTCTTAATTAATTATAAAAAATAGTTAAAATAAAACTTTTTTTCATTTATATATATATATGTATTTTATCTCATTATTTTCAACTCATTTTATAGCAACACACTAATAAAGCAAGAGTATAATAATATATCTATAATTATAATTATAATATAAACAAGTTAATAATGTGTCAATGTGTTAAAATATCTTCAGAAGCCACTTTTCTTAAGAAATATAATTTATATGAATATAATTGCATTATTTAAAAACTGGAGGATAAATGTATAAATAGGCTAATATAAAAACATTTTAATTGTAGCTTGTAATGCCAAAAACATTTTTAAAAATTTCTTGAAAAATACTGATCATTTTTTGTGAATCTTTTATTATTAAACTGATTATAAATACAATAAAGAACAATATTAAATTACATTTTTACTCACTGGTTGCTAAAAATTATTTTATTCTTAGGTAGTTTAGTTTATCATTTTTATTTTCAACAAAGATCTCCAATGATCAATAATGATAAAATTTGTTATTTCATACCTTAAAATATTAAAAATGATAAAATGTCACAATTTCTTACCTTTTGAATAGCATGCCTTGAATCCCTTAGTGTTTTATAAACATCAACATTAGAGTTATAAACTAGATCTCCACCAGATTTAACTTTTCTAACTTTAAGAGTATTTTCTTTTTCATTTTTTGACTTTTCATTCTTTAATGTAGATGTTGTAGGAAAGTTACATTTTCTACTACGTCCCCAAACTTCTTCAGGTGGAGGAATATTAAATGCAGGGGACAATTGTTCATATAAATGAACTTCGTTTTCTGTGAATTTTAATAAGTCTCTACTCGGTTCAGCTAATCTTCTTATTAAATTTGTAGCTGAGTTATACTTGTTTTCCATTAACTTATAATTGTATTGGAGCTGTTCTATTAGACGATTTTTTTCTAATATTTCAATTTCTAACTTTTTTAAATTATTCTTTAAACAAATAATTTCATCATTTTCAGTTTTATGGTTTTGCAGTAGTTGATCTTGCTGTTTTTGAAGTAATGGTTGTGAAAGTCGATTTGCTCTACTTTTAGCCTCATTGTCTTTGATATTTTTAATATATTGTTTAACTTTACTTTCAACATGTGCAAATTTTTTCTTATTATTTCCTGTATTATTAATACATCCATTTGAATGGTGGATACCAGAATCAGTTTGAGTAGTCATGGCGCTGGTCAATGTTTCTGTAGAATAAATAGCTGAATCTTCACGCATTAGTGATTTAAATGATTTTATTGTAGTTAAATCAGCCAATGAGAATGATTTAACAGGACCTTTGTAAGTGCTTTTTTCTACCGGTTTTTGTTTTTGTACTGGTATATGTTGAGTTGTATCCGATTCTGACTCGGAGGTAGTAAATTCAACAGAACTATTGGTCGTTGTGCTGAAACTGGTCAATAATGATGGTAAAGTTACATCTTCTATAAGAGTACTGGATGTATCAAAATCCAAATCCATAGTAGAACAACTAAAACAAGATAATTTTTTTTTTAAAGTAAAGTAATAATTAAATATTAATAGCAGTAATTTAAGTATGAATATTATATAAGTAAATAAATTTATTTTATAAAATTAAATTATTTAAAAATCTTTAAAAGCATTTTAAATCATCAATTATTTCAAGTGTAACTAAAACTGTTATTAAAAAAAAGTCTTACATAAATGTACATAGTTAGTGCCGTTACAATAATTAACAAAGTTCTAGCAAATTTAAAAAATATAAAACCTTTATAAAAAATATTTAATTAAAAATTACTATTATTATAGTTTTTATACATTTTTTAAAGATAGCTTGATTGTGTAGTTATTCAATAAATTCTTGTCAATGTTTAATTATAATTTTTGTTATTTTTTACAAAATCTGTATAGTTAAAACTTTAATTTTTAAATAAAAATTTTTTTTTTATATTTCAATAATTTTATAGACATATTAGATGGCCAATAATAATTAATTGTAGTATAATTTTCTTAAATTTAATGAATGTCCGGTTAACATTCATTTATAGGTTTTGATATAAACATTTTCTTAATTTTCAAAGTTGTAAAAGATAAAATTTCATTACTGAAAATCTTAAATTAAATAATATTTATTTTTTGTTACCTTTTAATTTTATAAAATAATTATACAATAAATAGGGTGAATTGGGGTAATTGTAAATTATTTTTTTCTATTTAAATATTTAGTACATTTTATTTTAGATTGAAAAGTTTTGGTGTATATATGTGTTTCTATCATATTTAATGCAAGTTCAAAATAAATACTTCTGAATTTATCTAAAAGATGCATTTATAATTAATCCACGTTATTATAGTTAACATTGAATTTTAATAGAAGTTTTCTCTAATGATTATTTTATATTTTTCATGTAATATTATAAATGTAGATAGTAATTTTTTTTTCTTCAAATTTTTACTATTGAGAAATTTATGGAATACCTTAAAATTTAATGTGATCAAAAACAAAAATTAAGCAAACTAACAATTTTTAAGATCACGCATGTGACTTAAGGCAAAACACACAAAACTTACAAGATTCAAAATTATAAAAATTACCTGTGCTTAAATCCTGTAGACTTACTATTTACAGTTAGATTTAAATTTTTTACGAAAATTCGATTCCCGAGGACAATAAAAAGTCCACGAGGTTTGGTTTAAATAGTTTAAAAATAGTATAAACTAATATTGAATATTATTAATCACTAAGTTTATAGTTCAATATGAACAAATTCACTGAAATATCAATCTTAAACAACCCTAGTAGATTTTTTGTCGTTGTAACGTACTCTTGATGGCGCACGACCGACACCTATCCGTTTCGAATGCTAATAACACCGCGAAGTTCAATGAGATAGGATTCAAACCAAAGTCATGCCATCACTGTGGAAGGGGAAACGAGCGTAGGTTCTTTTTACCTACTTTGTTTTCAACTATATAATAGAATCTATTAATAAACCAACGAATGAACAAAAAACGGCAAAGCCACTACTTTGTTAATAACGAATACACTTAAATACAACTAACACTGCAAAAATGACATATTTAAAACGGTTATCAATAAAATTGTAGCTGTTATCTTAAATGATACAATACTCGTGTTCGTGTTTACGAGCGATGGCCCTTTGCAACGCAATTCGAGCAGATGCTCTATTCTATTGTACCCTACTAACAACCGCATGCGCATTTCAGCAGCCTTAACTGCGTGGGATATAATCGAATGTCAGGCAGCTGCTGCTGTGACGACTAAAGTACCGATAATCAGCGATGTCCGCGGGGAACCTTAAATTAGAAGTTATGGTTACTGAAAAACATGTATTAGTGTGTGTATAACTAATGCATGCTGAATCAATTTAAAAAAAAATCACAGAAAAAAAATGTCAAGAACCAAAACCCTTAAACCTTATAAGGGTGTTCACTTTATTTTTTTTAATGACATCATAGATATTTAACTAGCTTATAAAGCATGCAACGATCTAATTAAAAAAATGACTGGTCAATAACAAAGTTAACTCATTACTTCGGAAGTTACAACTATTTTAAAATATAAAGTGGTGATGAGGTGGGGGTTATGTTATTTAAAAATGTTAATGACTTTCGAAGTTGTATTTCAAAAGTAGTTATCAACCAGTTATTTTCTTAAATAGATCACTGTATGCTTTTTAAACTAATAAATGTGTTGCCATTTAAAAAAGTAGAATTTACACCTATATAAAGAATGAATTAAAAACATACTTAATAATTAATAAATCGAGAGATATATAAAATAAACAAATTATCATTATTTTTAGAGTATCCAGTGGCTAATATTAAAAGAATAACTCTGTATTAAAAAATATTTGGTAGTTATACTTTACCCAAGATAATATATATTATTAATAATTATTGATATTACACTAAAATATAGTTTTTAAGATTGATTATAATTTTTGTTTTATTTATTACAATAAATTAAAAAAAACTACCCAATCATTAACTTTGGAAATTTTCTAGTTAAATTTATGGGACATCATAATATATAGATATAAATATATAAATAAAGAACTGATTCAAAAAGAAATTTAATCTTTGGCAAAAAATTTATTACGATTTTATTTTGGTAAAAAAAATTTGTTTGGTAACAATGGATAATAAAAAAACATTAAATATAATACTATCAGATCCCAAATGATAGTGGTTGGTCTGGTCTCGTGGGTAAAAATGTATGTTTTGGCACGCGGGGTTGTGGGTTCTATACCTAAGGTGTCAACGTGATTTTTTCAATGGTAGTGTTTGATCTCTGGTGCAAACTATCCAAAATATCCAACCCGTTCAACATTGACTTAGACAAGAACTATCTATGGGACTCCTTAATATGTCCTTACTGCTACCCTGTTCCGGCGCTATTTTCATTGTGGCCGTTTGAAAAACTCCCACCCCGTTTTAAGATTTACACATTTTTTATCACCAATTAATTTTGTGCAACAGCAATAATCTGAGAGAATACTTTAATTAACAAACTAAGCTACTTAATTTATCACGTAGTACATCTTATATTTCATTACTAACTATAGTCTAATTGAATTGAAAGTTTTATTTTTTTTTTTGAAGTTTGAAAGATAAAATAAAATATTCTTGGTAGGGGGGCTTTAGTCTCTATTTTTGTCATACTTCTTTTCCCAAAATAATAATGTTTACTTTTAAAGGAAGGAAAAAACTAAATTATAGCTCCCAATAATTTTGTTAAAATTGCGCCGTTTTGTAGGCTAAAATAACTGTTTTTATATAGATTAAATTGAATCTATTCTATAAAACAACCAGTGGTACCAAAATTGAATATTATCATACCACAGTTATTATCAGACAATTTTTATTTTTATCAAATAACTTAAGGCATTGGTCAATGTTTGAAAAAAATAGTGGTTATTTTTATTAATTATTAATGTTTGCTTTATCATGGTTTTCATATAAGTTAAATATGTTTAATGCATAACTAGATGACCTTATATTATACCACTATACAATTCCAAGGTGTATTGAATAAATCTCACTTTTTTTTTATTTAATTTTTATTATTTTTCATAATGAACTGAAAAAATATTTCTTAAAGTTAGTTTTTTTTTTAATAAAAAAATTATTAAGAATGTATAAATTGTTTATTCAATTTATGTTTTCACCGAAATTATATAAAATAAATACTGGACTTCGTAAGGATGAGGTAAGGAAACTTAATTATGCTTTTAAAATTGTTTAAGTATGTAATAATTATTTAAATAATACTTGAAATGTTAAAAATATTTTTGATACCATATTAATGGTTAATATATGTTGAACTAGCTTCAAGCTAAGTAAATTAAAGTTAACTAAATTAAGTATTAAACTTAACAAAAATTTATTTGAATGCTACATTTAATATTTGTAGTTAATAAGTAGTATAGGGCTGTAGAGTGTAGGTATATTATGATAAATATAATGATATTTTTAACTGGTAATGTAACATAAAAAGAATTATTTAAATTTTGATTGAGTAAATAAAAAAAAAAACTATAACTTTTTCTTATACTCTATAGTTTTACCAATAGCTCCCTTATGATAAGATAAATATAAATGGAACTAAGTCTTAAATACATTTTTTTTTCAGCTATTTTCATTTTTCAAACAATATTTTTATCATTATTACTTTGAAAAGATAATAGGTCCCTTTTAAATTTTTTTGTATTTTGACCATTGTAGTAATAAAATATTCATTTCACGTTATGAGAACCAAAAAATTTGGTTAAAGCATATGCATTAATTTGATTAAAAAATTAGATAGACTACATAATGAAATAATAGATTTTAAAATATTTGTTTATTTATAATCAATATTGTTAGTATAACAGATTAGCTACTTCAATTAACGATAAAGAAATGGGAAACCTTTTGGGTCTTTAAAATTTGAAAAAACAGTTGTATTCTTCTAGATCCAATGCAATGTTTTGATAGATATACTATAGTTGATATCATATAAGGTTTTTATATATTATTGAACTATTAATTGTTATCGTCCATTTTATTATTATTTTTTAATGGTATTAAATGTAAAAGTTTTTAGAAAATGTTAAAATGATTGCTTATTTGTGTCCAATTGGTAATAATATGATATAATAATAGGTCAATAATTAACATTATTCATGAATTTAGTTTACTCCATCTTTTTACAAGTAACAAAGGTGCTTTAATATTACTGTACAAATCTATATTAATTTATACTGTTGTTTCAAACATTTTATGCAATAAGTGTCTTATATTGATTAATTACTTTTTCTAATAATTAAAATGTTTTGTTTGAATTCATAACAAAAATAAATGTATATATAAATTCAATAAAACACATATAAAACTTTAAAATAATGTCATTTAAAATGAATGTTGTAAATTGGATAACATTTTATTTGTTTATTTTTTAAAATTCAATTATTTTATGTCTTATTCACTTTTTATGTAGTATGAACTTATTGTTGAATTAATGTAGAATAACTATGTTTACTATATGTAGTGAATTATTTGTACATTATAAAATTTAATCTTAATTTAGTTTTCAATTTTATTAGTTTTATTACAATTTTTCGTAAATTTTAAGAAGACGTTTTTGTTGTTTTTAATATAAAAAATGTATTAAATTAAAAATAAATTAGTATAGAAAAATTAAATGAAGTTGGTACTAAAATAATTAACTCTATATAATTGTTATATAAAAAAATAGATTAACAGAAATATAATAGTTCATCTTTTGATAGTAATTATTTAATTATATTATTAAGCTTTGCTAATAAGAACTTACCGTCATTTTAGAAGTATTACGTGTTTCACTAACTTAAATAAAAAATAACTATTTAATTAAAAAACGTTGTGTACTTCAACAGCCAAGGACAAAATTATTACTGTTTTACATTAGTGTTACCAGTAGGAGTCGCGTGGTTGTAATAATTTTATTAGCATATAATTCTTTGGTTTAAAACATTATTTTCTCATCATAAAATGACCTTTGCAACCCTAGTAGTTTGTGATAAGATAATATAAATATTACCTAGTGTATAATGAGATTTAAACTCGATTTGTTTTTTACAACTGTATGTTGTTAATTACGTATGAAATTTTGCTAGGATGAGGTTAAAGTATAGATTCTGAGACATAGGTACGATATGAAATATTATACAATTATATGACGATCCATAACATTTTATCTCATATATGTTAATTTTTAAATAATGATAAAAATTAAGATTTCGCTTTACATATTACAACATTAATTTGTATTAGTTAGTAAACGAATTAAACTAAACCAATATTAATCAGATTTGCTATTCGGCTGTATTTTATTTACACATGACCTTGTTAAAAAATCTGATATCTTATTAAACTCCAAAGAAGACTTAATTTCTATTAACTTTTTTTTCAATGATCATGAATTTATGTGAAAAGTCGGCAAAATACCAAAAACTTAATCATGAACATTAAAATAGCCTTAAATATATTTAGTTTAATTTATTATTGGGTCTTGAAATTATATGTATTTATAAATTTTGTTTGAACCACTTGAAAGGGTCCTAAATTTGTGTAACTATGTCGTAGGTAAATTTACTAGGTCAATATTACATAATTACGTAAAAATTCAATAAATTTGACAACCTTACGCTTATGTTATCGATATACAAAATGAACGGTCTAAATGGAAGCTGTAACGATAGTCAAAGTTTATAATCTCTTTGATTGCCCAGAGAAATATGTATGATAATAATTGAAATGGTAATGACACGAGAAAATTATCGAGTAAAAAAAAATTTTGTTTTTTTTTTAAACCTAGTAAATATATACAGGGTGTTCAGTTAGTAAGGAAACAACGACCAAAATTATTTTTGACGGCCAAATGAGCCCGTTTACATTGATTAAATTTTTTTTATCTGGAAAATTTTTCATTGCATCGACATTACAATTTTGGGGAGGTTATTACATTCTGTATATACAGTTCAAATATCAAAGATTTTTTATGAGAGGTTATAAAAAAATCATTTTGAATCTCTCTTAAAAGTATAAACATTTGCGTTTAAACCTTTTATTATTATTATTAAAGAAATAATTGAATAATATTTTTCAAATATATTCTCTCGTAAAAATCTACAAGAGGATATTTTTAAGAAAATGTTCGTTACCTAGAAATTTTATTAAGAATATTCATTCGTTACATCACTAGTTGCACCTAAGTGTGCCTTACTTGATGTCACTCAAGAATGAAAAGGTGTAACGAAAGATAGATTGAATTTAAAGTTTTTATTTAAGTGAATTCACTATTTAATTGAATGTTAATTAGTTAATTGATAAAATGAAATGGCAAAAATTATTTAAATTGTGTGAAATTTTTAACAGTTTAGTTTCATTTTATTTTATTCCATAAATAACCAAGTTCTTCAATAAAATATATCTAGCGTAGATTTGTCGTGATACCCAATAATGTTTAGTAATAAAAATATTATACCAGTCGGTGCTTCATCTCTAGCCAATTATTTTAAAATGTTGGTCCAAAAGTTGTTATCATTCAGTAATTTTCTTAATTAGATCATTTTTATTTTATAAGCTAGTTAAATATGTATGTTGTTATTTGGTAAAATAAAGTTAACACTCTTATAATGTATAAGGAATCATCATCATCTCCTAAGCCTCTATCCTAGCTATCTGGGGTCGGCACTACCTTACAATTTAAAGACAGGATTTTTACACCGGCTTATTATGACTGAAAGAATCAGTAAGGGACAACGTGTGTGTCATTGTTAAAGTTTTTGTATGGACATCCATCCGAGAATCAATAGCAATTAATGCTAAGGCGGCGACTGAATGATCCACTGCACCACACTAAGCTTTTAGTATAAGGAATGAACATAAAAAATGATTCATTTGGATAAATTAAGAAAACTTATAATTAAAAGAAATCAAAAGTAAAATTTTCAATATTATATTTATTTTTCGGTTAATTAAATGATCAATGATAAAATAATTATTCTGTATATTGAATAATTTTGACATAATACAGACGACGGAGATCATATCAATCCAGAAGCGTCTACAAGTCAACGTTATAAAGAGGGAGAATTTAAAATATTTTTATCAACTAGTTTAGAAATAATTGGCGAATATAGTGTTTTAAACTTATGAATGATCCATTTCTATAGACTAAAAAAAATTTTTCTTGTTACGCTTCGAAAAAATGTACAAATAAATTATAGCTAAGTTAAAGAAGAAAGTGAAATACTATAATATTTTAAAAAAATGCAGCTTAACAATGGCTACATCTGTTTATATGTACATGGACAAATGTGAAACAAATTATATTTGTACCTGCTAAAGGTACACAAATTATAATTTTTTTTTGCTTTGCTGCGAAGCTGAGAAGGTATTTATTATTAAAAACACTCTAGATGAAATCCATCGCCTCCCTCCTACAGAGCTTGTATCAATCAGTGGCTTCGTCATTGATGGTTAAAGGAGACATAGCATCCTCCATATGCAAATTATTGCTATAAATTGTAAATGACTATGGTGTTAGTAAGAGCAAGTAATAAGCCAATAAATAAAAAAAATTCTTATGCTTTACAAAAATTCTGAAACGTCACTAATATCAATCTTATAAAAACCCAGCACAGGGGGGTCGCGGCACAGTGGTGACGTGGCATAGTTGGATCAAGTATAATGATATCTGATAGTGATTAAAATCACTATCAAAATAAAACGCTTCGATGCAAATCTTTAAATACTGTTTAATTTTAAAAAATTGGTGTATTATTCCAAAAGCTACATGATCTGCTAGTTCCTTATTAATATCTCGATTAAGATAAAGTATATCGAATGAAAAAGGGATTATAAAAAAATATTATTTTTCATAAAAAAATTGTGTTGATCTATACACTTTTCAAGAAGTTATTGCATTATAAAGTTAAAAATGTAAAAAATAAAATCGAGAATTTTCACACAAAAATAGCATTTGGTAGCCATTTTCACCATGAAAACAAGTCCAGAGGTCAAATTTTTTTTTTCCATAATAAAGTACATTACATACTTACAAATCTTTAATATAAGATACATAAAGTGTCAGACCTTCCGGAACACTTTCAAAAGTTAAGTGTAAAAGTTAATTTTTTGTGAAAAAGTTGTCATTTTAAATTCCCCCTTGTGGGCAGGTTAAGTGTCAGATTTATAAAAAATATATACCAAATGATACATAAAGATATCAAGCATCTATAAAAAAAAAAATTATATTGATTTGTTAATTTTTGAAAAAGTTACGGCAGTTTTTAGTAAAAAAAATTGAAAAAATTTCGAAAATTAGCGATTTTTAANTGTTCATTTTTGAAAAAGTTACGGCAGTTTTTAGTAAAAAAAATTGAAAAAATTTCGAAAATTAGCGATTTTTAAATTTGTAATTTTTTTGGAGGTTTCCCCCATTTACGGGAAACGAGGGAAATTTTTTCAATTTTTGAGGGTAATGTCTTCAACTAGATACGATTTGTGATCTTTTGACGTATCGTTGAAAGAAATCCGTTCGGTGAGAGCTGAGTAAAAGTAGTAACAGACACAAAAAAAAAAATAAAAAAAAAACACACCATAGTAAAACCAATACCTTCTCAGCTTCGCATCGAAGCTAAAAGCTAAAGCTAAACCTAAAATAGGAAAAATCCAATTATTTTTTTTAGAATTACGACTATTTACTGTAAAATTAAAATCACTCTGTTAATCTTGTTATTGATATTTTTATGGCATTTCATTCATTTACGATGACTCAATAAAATTGTCATTAACTACCTGTAGTGTATTATAAATATAAATATGGTACTACCTTATCATTGTACTACTATATAGGATCTGACAAAATTATCACTTTAGATTATCTAATGATATTATTTGTATACATTTTAATGATTTTAATTCTAGGTAGCTAAATTGTTTACGTGTTGACTGTTGAGTTATTTATGAATATTTTTATTAGGTGATTTTTACGGGTATAATTGTTTAACCAACTTATAAATAATAAAATGATTTGACTAAAAAAATTACTGGTTGTTAACAACTTTTGAAAATATATTTTGGAAGTTATCATTTTAATGTTATATGTTAATGTTATGACTAGAGGTGAATCGAGATTCGGTTTATTATAATCTATAAGCATTTATGAACCACCCTACTCCTTCCGCCTGCTATAAAAATTTCAATATCTTTTAAAGTACTTGTTTGAATATTGTTATCGACCAGTTATTTTCTTATTTTTAAGCTGGTTAAATATATATGTTTCCATTTAAAAAACAAAAGTTGACACAATTTTAGGTGGTTGGGTAGGGAATAGGTTTTTTTTGAAAATTATAAAATGTAGGGTATTAACATTTGGAGAGAAAACATTGTATTACGTTTTATATCTTTAAAGTAAAGTGATTGTTTAACTTTGAGGCATGTTGTTTATTATCAAATATAACAAAAGTCAAGTGGCTTTTTAGATAATAAGCCAAACAAATAATTCAAATAAAAAAATATGACAATATAACACATTCTATACTAAATCTAGCTCATTAACTCTTCAATAAATGAAAAAAATTTTTCCTTTAAATCATTTTTTAAACTTAATTACTGAATGCAAATTCAGAATAAAAATTGATTTTTAGACTGATTTTTGTATTAAAAATTGATTAAATCTACTTCAAAAAACGTTTAATCATATATTTCATAACTTAAATTACCCATAAAGTGCAGCAAGATGGTATATAGTGTTATGGAATATTTTATAATTTAAATAGGTACATTTTCAATGTATTTTAGATTGCTGCAAAAAAATACCTTGTCTATAAATATACATTTTCTTATATTTTTTGAACTTCGGAAAGTCTTTTATATAGTTATAGATTAGGGTCTCAAAAAAAAAATTGTACTTGGACTTTAAGAAGAGTATTACCATTGTTTCCCATAAGTATTATAATACTTATGGGAAACAAGGGCAGTACTTTTATATATAATTGAATAACAATTTCATAGAATAATATAAAATAATTTTTCTGTAAAAATGTTTTTTTATATGTATGAAAGAGATTTAGTATAAGATTTCTGATTTCCAGATTTCAGAAAATAATAAATTTCATTGCTAAAATCTGTAATTTTTTTTAGGATTATATTCAATTATGGCAGGAAAAATTTGCCGATAGAGTGTTATTTACTGTAAGTATTTTTTCTAATTCTGTCATCATAAAACTTAAAATAGGGAGTTGTTTATACCAAAAAATATAAGAGTTAGTTAAAGTAACACTATTGAATGTCTAACGAAACGTCAGTATTCATCTGTAATTTTAGTACAGTTTGATATAAAAAAGTACTAATTAAAATAAATAATATATAAATAATTTCTAGTAAATTTGAGTTTTACATTCATTTTATAAAGTTTTGGAAACTTAAACATGGTCATTTTTTAAAAACTTAAGTTTAAATATCTAATTATTTTTGTACCATACAAAAACACAAATATTAACTAATTTTGCTTATAGAAGCAATATTGTTTATTAAATCCTTGATTATGTTTACAACTGCGTATTTATGTGTTTTTGTATTGAATGATTTTGGAAATAGGCCAATTTATATTTTCTTTTGCATTAAAAAAAATTGTTTGAGAAATAAAACAGATTATTACTATAATATTTATTTAAGGGGCTAAGTACAATAGTGGCTAATCCGGCATAATTTGTCGGTCTTAGAAACAAAATTATAGATGCCATCAGTGGATTACTCACAATTTAAGTATAAAATTATCAAAAGGGTTTATACTTTATGAGGGTACTACTTAATTTTTTTTAATGACAACTTACATATTTAATTAGCTTGTATAATAGAAAATAATTCAACTAAGAAAATGAAGTCAATACTTTTGAACCAGTAGTTAGAGTGCTATAAATATTTTTATATCTAGGCGGGAGGAGTAGTGCAACTGAAAATGCGAAATAATAAAAATAACATCACACATACCTTAAATGTAATATATTAAAGTGTTAATAATTTTGAAAATACTGGTTCAAAAGTTCAACCACTCTTTTTCTTACCATAGGCTATTTCAAAAAATTAAGTTGGTACTCTTATTAAGGGATTAATCTAAAAACTATTTAATCACTTACAAATTAAGAAATAAATAAATAGTATTAAATAAAATCAAAATAAATATTTTTAAAGTAATTTTTTTTAATTAAGTTTTTTTTTGAAAAATTTAGTGATTAGTGATAAATAATAAATAATAAAAATAATCTCAGAATGTCTTTGAGTATTAAATATGCATAATTAAATTAGGAAATAATACATTTTCCTTTTGTTACAGTCTTATGTAATAACGCGAGTAGTAACTTACTTATCACCAATAATATTTTACTATTATGGAAAATCACTGTTTAGCCTTGATTTAATTAACAAAATTATATTTCGTGGATCAGTTCTGAGTGTAACATTGATTACATCTTTATTATTAAGAAGTTATGGACGCTCAATGAATCCAAAATACCAGACTTTTTACCGAGATTTAAGTTGTGCCCAGTTAGAATATTCAAATGCTAATCAAGTAATTACACTCAATTTTTAAATATTTTATTTTTAAATTACTAATTAAATATTTAATATTTTCAGAAAAAATTGCACAATTATGATTTTGATTTTTCAGCTTGGCCGGTAGACTTTTCATGGAGTAAAGCTGATGAGTTAGTTTAGCTTTATTTTGTAACTAAATATTTAATTTAATTATTTATGTTCATTGTTTAAATTTCTTTTATTTCAGAGACAACTATAACTCTAATTTAAAACGACGTAGTATGGTACTATTAGTTAATTTATTGAAAAGTCCAAGTAGTTTAATTGGGTTTATAGCTTTGCACACTTTTGGTATAATGTTAATATATCCAGGGTCAACTTCATTATTATTTTATTTAAGTAAGTATGGAATAAATTTGTATACTGATTAAAAAATTATATCTTCTTAGTATATAAAGTAATTAAATTATTTTATAAACCTGGTTTAATTAATTAGACATTTATTATTATTAAATGTATTTTAATTTATCATAAAATATATCTTGTAACATTATGAAATTTTTAATTTTATAATATTAATTTTATAATATTTTAAGTGAAAGATGCATTACAAAAAGGAAGAAGAACATTAATTTCAAGATTTAATGGAATTAGATATAAATTAAAAACAATTGATGGAAATTTTTTGGATTCAATATTCATTGATAATAGGTTAGTTAAAATTTATTTATCAATTAAAATAACTATTTTTGAGGTATTAATTTTTTCTTTTTTGTATCTGATTTTTAAGAAATAAAAATACAATATCAGGTAGATCAAAATTAATCATATGTTCTGAAGGAAATGCCGGATTTTATGAAGCTGGAATTTTGAGCTCTGCAATTGATACACAGCATTCTGTTTTAGGATGGAATCACCCTGGATTCGGGTACAGTACTGTAAGTCTAAAAATATATTTTTATACATTAATCTATTAAAAATATAGTACTTTGAGTAGATTAAATTTTTTTTATAATATCTTTTTCTACCTTATTTGTATTATTTGATAGCTTTATTTTTGAAATTTTGATTTATATAAGTTATATTGATTAATTATTGATTATAGGGTGTTCCATATATTGAGCAAGAACAAAATGCAGCAGAAACTGTAATTGAATTTGCTATAAAAAAATTGAATTTCAGGCCTGAGGACATAATATTATATGGATGGAGTATTGGTGGGTTCGCATCAACTTATTTAGCAAAAAAATTCCCAGATGTTCATGCAGTGGTAATTTTACTGAAACTTTTCTTTAAATTAACTACCAAGAAAAATTTTGAAACTAGAGCATTTTTACATTAGCTGATATATCACAGAATTGAGGTTTTGTGAATATTAATGTTAAGTATAGAGTAGCAGTCACTACTAGGTTTTAAGAATGGGTAATAATAACTTATGAAAATTTCTTGTGAGCCACACAGGTGCAGGTGATTTCTCCTAATAAATTTTCCTGGTAAATTTTAAATTTAGTACTGGCTGTGCAAACAATTTTTTTGGGTCATGTATTATTATGAACATTGATTTTTATTAATTACCTTTGAATTTTAATTTACTTTTTCTCAAAGGTGGTATATTTTATTTACTAGAATATTAAAATGCTTTAATATTTAGTATAGTAATATAATTCATTTTTTTTAAGATACTTGATGCTACTTTTGATGATCTTGTACCTTTAGCTGTCCCTCGAATGCCTAGTTTTGCAGAAAATTTAGTTGTTTCAACTGTAAGAGAATTTACAAATTTGCATGTTGCTGCAAATTTGTTAAAATATCCAGGCCCTGTTCTACTTATAAGAAGATCAGGCGATGAAATAATTGCATTAGAGTAATAATGAATTAAAATATTTCACAAAAATTTTTATAATTGCTAATGTATAATTTTCAGCCCACAAAATATTGCAACTAATAGAGCAAATAATTTATTGGAATCATTTCTTGAGTACAGATACCCAAAACTATTTACTGATGAAACTCGAACAGCATTGTGGGAATGGATGTCAAAAGCAGATGATCAACAAAGTATGTATATTGATTATCAATTTAAATTTTGTTTTAATTGATAAATAATTATTATTATAATATAAATTTCTTGTAACAAATAAAAAAAAAAAAAATGAGTATTTAAGGTGGTTAGAGGAAAAATGTCCTTCTAATATTATATGTTCAATGTTATAATATTTTATAGTTTAAGTATGAAATTCTTTACTCATATAAATTATGCAATATTAGAATTATTTATTTATTATTTAGTATTTAATTATTACTCTATTAAAAATATTAACACTGTTTTGAAGTTAAAATTGGTTACCATAATTGTTGAATGATATTAAAAATAATAAACTATATTTTCTACAATCATATTTGGACTTTGGAGAGTGATACAACAGAACATGGTAAAATACTAAAAGAGATAGACCAGGGCTTTTTGGAATATCCCTTGGACTATATCAAACCGGTTCTTAAGAATAACATTCCCTACAAAGTGGAGATCACTACACGTATAGAATGGAATATTAACCACCTGACTGACAAAGGAGGATTTGTGATATATACAGATGGATCCAAAAAATCAGGAAAGGTAGGTGCTGGAATTTGGGGTTTAAAGCCACGAATAAATGTCAGTATGTCATTGGGCACAACACCCTCTGTGTTCCAAGCAGAGGTGATGGCGATACTGGTAGGGGCTCAGAACCTGCTGGTATACAAAAATAGGAAGATAACTATCTTAAGTGATAGTCAAACGGCTTTGAAGGCACTCTGTAACAATCAGGTGAATTCAAAGCTGGTCCTCGAATGCAGGGAAACTTTAGAATCACTATCGAGGTTCAACAAAGTTACACTAGCGTGGGTACCGGGACACAACGGTGTCACTGGAAATGAGAATGCTTACTTTCTAGCCAGGAAAGGAGCAGAGAACACCTATGTTGGACCAGAACCAGTGGTAGGACTCACTGAGCAATCGCTCAAAGCGTTACCCAAGAATTGGTGCAGAGAACAACACAGGAAAATCTGGAAGTACTTAGTAGTACCTAGACAATCTAAAATGTTTATCAAGACCCCTGGTTTACTGTTAGGTAATCTTAATAGCATGACTAGACATCAAATAAGCACCCTGACTGGTCTACTGACAGGACATGGTCACCTGCTTACACATCTTAACGCAATGGGGGTATCGGAATTACCATTGTGCAAGAAGTGTGGAGTAGAAGAGGAAGACTCATTTCATATCATGTGCGAATGTGAAGCCTTGTCCACACTAAGATCAAACTACTTGAATAAACCTATTCCTGAAAAAGAAGATATTAAAAACCTAAAACCCAGAGAGATACTTAATTTCGCCAGAAAGACAGGACTCTTTGGTCATCTTTAGAGGTGACTTTATGGTTGGTAATGTATTAACACTTTGGTGATAACACTTAGGTGTGTAAACCGAATCAATACAATTCGGTATGAGGTGCGCACAATGGACCAACGGGTCTGAGTGCATGGGCATTATGTCCACCTCGATAATAACTAAAACTAAAAAAAACTTCTACAATCATACCATTAATTGATTAAATACAAATAATTTTAAGAAATATGACATTATAAAAATATAAATCAAGTTGATTTTTTATATGAAACTTCTATTTTGTTGTTTGACAAGATTGCAATAAATGTACTGTTATATTTATATTTATATAAGGTGTCCAGTAAATAAGGTTACAATTTACCTGTTTCCTTACTTATTGGACACTGTTTATATTGTTGTAGTAAAAGTGTTACAAATGAGCTTATTTTGAATGTTATTGCAATATCACTGTTTAGTGAAACTTCTTTCCTTATTCTTATCTTAAAATAATGATAATGCATAAATATTTAATAAACATTTAAAAAGTATAAAAATTATTAGAAATAAATTTTTTTTTGTTAATTGATTATAGTAGAAAATTTAGGGAGATATAAATATTTTTGCAAAATGAAATATATTTAAATTTTGTTCTACAATTGTGGCAAAGTATATAATGTAGAGTTGTTGACTTTTTAACATATAAAAACTAAAATTAACTATTATATATTTTTCGATTACTTTCTCTTTTTAATTGTTTTTTAAGTCAAAGTTCAATTAAGATTTCAAAGACGGAAGATATTTGTTGTTTTTATAAATAATAGGAATAATAGAAAACCATTTCCTGACTTCCTGAATACTCTATATGTCTGAAACATGGTAGAGAAAAACTAATGACATATTTGAAATCAGTGTTAAAAAACCTATTGAAATAAAAAAAAAAATTTCTTAAATATAACAAGACCTAAATTTTGTTGAGTTATGTTATTTTCTATAACAAAATTATTATTTAAAATGGTACATAAATAGTAATAATTTTATTATCATTACATTTTTATAAAAAAATAATTATTTTTATAATTTAGAGCTAATATTCTTAATGAATAATATTGTATATACAGTAATTAATCAAAAAATCTAATAACGGAAGAATAAACAAAACTTTATAAGTCATATTATTAATTTTTTGATAAGTTAGTAGATATAAAATGTTTTTATTTAAATTATAATCTCACATACAACTTCTAAGATTACACTTTTTTGAATTCTCAATGTATTCATTTGTTTTAAAAAAGTTAGCATGTAATTAGATATTAGATTGGTTAAAAATATAAATGACAATGTGTAATTCTATCTTAATGATAATACTGACTCCATATTTTGTAGTTCATTTAAATCTATAAATTAAATACAGATTTATAAAAATGAGTTTATAATCGTTTTTTTTTTAAATGAATCAAATTTTTAAAATTTTTAAAATTATACAATTTTATTTTTTTTAAATAATATATGTCCAAAATGAGTAAATAGTACATGCCATAAGTACAAATATCTTAATATTACTANATTTAGGAATTTAGAGTTTTGTGTTATACAGTAATATATGATTATAGTTTACTTAATAGTATTATAATGTTAGGTATATGCATGGTGATTTTTTTATCATAACCCACTCAATTACTTACAGAATAAATATATTTTAACATTTTTTTTTTTTTTGGTTATCTTTAGTTACACATTATTCTTGAATTATTAACTATGTAACACTTTTTAAGTTCATCCATTATGCCTAGTAAGGGTGTCAACTTTGTTTTTTTAAATGGGAACACATATTTTGAATTTTATTAAAATGTTTGAGTTTTTAATTTAATATTAAATGGCATTTGAATTTTTAGTATAACTTTATTTATTTAAAAAAACAAAGTTGACGTCCTTACAAGGCATAAGGGATGAACTTAAAAAGTATTACATAGTTAATATTTCAAGAATAATGTGTAACTAAAGATAATCAAAAAAAAAAAAAATGTTAAAATATATTTATTTTGTAAGTAATTGAGTGGGTTATGATAAAAAAATCACCATGCATATACCTAACATTATAATACTATTAAGTAAACTATAATCATATATTACTGTATAACACAAAACTCTAAATTCCTAAATTCGTAGAAAATATCAACATTTTTTAAAATTATAACACGTGTTTTATGATAAAAAATTAACTTAGTATCATATAAATAATAAAAACTTAGAAATATAGTATTCACCTTTGGTATGTGTTATTCCTTGAAGTTGAAGTTGAAATCTTAAAAAGTGTTGATAATTAAAAATAAAGAATTACATATTAATGTAACTTAATCGTAATCTAGTTGTTTTTTTTTTTAATGTGTTGTGAAAAGTTAGCATGCAACAACTGTATTATTTTTAACTTTGTCTAGTACAAAATAAAAAATAGGTATCAAAATAATTTAGATTTATAAACTGTAACAAAGATATCATATATTTTTCCAATTGTAGCATATACCAATAATAAGTTATTTTTTATAAATATAATTTTTAGAATTACATATTAACTAGCTGTTATAATTTTAAATTCCTATCGTGTCTTCATTGAAATCATATTCGATTCCATCTACAATATATAGAGATATTGTAGTTTCATGGTCTGATAAACATAAAGCCAATTTGAGGATTAACCTGTTACTTTATGGTTTAAATCCATATCAATAAATAAACTATGATTAGTGTATTTTATATAAATGTTTTTTACTAGTTTCTGTATAAACTGATTTATTATGCCTAATTACATTATTTTAGTATCTTTATAAGATTTTTAAAATAATATTACACTTTTTTTTTTAGAACAAGTTCTTATACAACATAACGTTGATATAAACGAACAAGCTAAAAAGTACCCAACACCAGATAATAATTATCCTTCAAATCTTGGAAGTGAATTGGACGATAATCAAAAAACTAAAATGCTCATTTATTTGGTAAGAGATTTTTTATTTCAGTAAATTGTTTAGCAAGTACTCATTTGGTTATTAATTTTACCTGAGTATCATTAAGTGGTGCATTACTTGTTTTGCACAAGTATATTTAAAATGGTTTGTTTCCACGGTTAAAATTAATAAGTTATTATTTTTCCGGCTTTGTATATATAAAGAAACGCTATATTTATAATATTTATTTAAAAAAAAAGTAATATTGTACTAATTGTCTTATTTTGGTGATATTAGTAATCTAGTTTTTTTTTTTTGTTTAGGCGGATCATCATATGAAGGATTACAACTCTACACATTGTACTCCATTACCATCAAGATATTTAAATTTTATAATATAAGTATTTCAGATAAATAATTGTATAGTCTAAGTACGTATTTATAATTTTGATTATTGAGTAAAAAGAAATAAGCATTTTTTTTGTAAATTTTTTGTTTTATGCATTTTGTTTTGTAAAAAATTACTGGTTATTTTTTGATATTATGACTGATTATAAATATTAAATAATACTAATATTTTATCCTCACGTGGAATAACTTTAATAAAATTTTGGTGACATTGTGAGTCAATTTTTCATTCTGATAATTGATTTTATTATATTACTCAAAAAAAAAAATCATGTTATAATTTTCGATCTAAGTTAAATATTTATAATCACAATTTGTTCTGACCCAGGGCCCCCAAACTGATATTTTTTTATCAAGTATTAATAAAATACGTATGGAAATAAATTAGTGTGAGAACAACAATTATTATCAAGATTCTATTTTATTCATTATATTCCTATAAAAAGTTATTTATTAAATAGAGTATATTTATAGACATGTAAATACGCAATTACGGTCTATGTATAAGGTTTGAGCCAATAACAGCGCTATCTTATAATATGTTAATAATAAAGATACTTAAACGTCAAACTTACTGACTGACTAATTTTAGTAGAGGTATTTACTTTTTAATTTATTAAAACAGGAAACGAATATTTTAATTATACTGAGCGTGTGCAAGATGTTTTTCATGCTTAAACAATTATAAAAGCAAAGTGAGGAATCAAATGAAAAATGATCGTTAAGTAAATTTTGCTTTTATTAACATAGAAATAAAATAGAGAAAAACTTAGTTTGCAAAGTTTTTTTTTAAATATCTTCTCAACATCATAAAAATAAAAAAATATAATTGTATTAGTTTAATTTAATTTTAAAATGTTTAACTAGTTGGTAATTTCCAGTATGATTTTCTTCATTACTAAAAAGGCTTGCCACTAGTAGTTTACTACAGGTAAAAAATATTATAGCGAAATCATTGTAGTTAATTCATACAGAGATGTATTCGACACATATTATAATGCGGTAATATAAATAGAATAATTTTTTATGTACATTGTATATTCTACACAATCACATTGTTGTTATTTGTTAGATTTTATAACTTATTCATTGAGAAATAATACTTTTGTTAGTGTTGTGTAACGGTGGCTATGAGATTTACTGGGATATGGTAGAAAAAATTGAATGAAACATAGAAAGAACGCATAAAAACAGAATAGCAAAGAGAGAAGAAAAAGAAAAGTGCGCTATTCTATGGAAATATAATTCGGATTTTACGGACTATTTGGCATACCGTACCATTGCCGCGGTCGCAGATGCTGTAATCGCGAGTGACACTTTGAATACATATCTCGTGCAATCTATTCATAATTGAGAAAAGGGCGTAGACGGTGCGATATTTTTACCAAATTAACTAGTACCATGTAAATATCACTCGTAATTTGTTTCATTGTCTTGTTTTCATCCAGACGTGTAGCAATATGTGTTTAAGAAATTCTATATTATTTATCTTAGAAATATCGTTTTACCATAAAAATCTTTAAAATTATTGTAATAGGCGAAACAAGTTTTAAATTAAATGAGTTTTTATTTCAAGTCGACGATGTTTTATGAAATTTTAAACTGCACATTATACAATACATAATAAATATATTGTAATAATAATGCATAATGAAATATACTGTGTTTCATTATTTGAAATCATATTGTAGCTATATAAATGAAATCCAAAGAAAAATTATTGTAGACGGAATAATATTCAAAGAGATTTAACCCTTAAAAACATTTGGTTATTTTCGAATTACAATTTTTGATGTAATTATCACAGATTACGTATGACTTGTATAAATATGTATGGCTAGCTAATTCCCAATTCTAAATTCTAGCGCTCGCTATTGTGTGTCTCGGATGAAATTAGTTACTATAATATTTTGGTTGCGTGAAAACAGTCGTGCTTTATATGAATTGTTTTTATTGTGCAAAATAAATAGTAGAAAAAACATTTTTTTTTATGATATAAAAAACACTGGCCGTGTGAATATCTATTGATCATTAAGCATATCGATGTCTATAAGACATTGTCTAGACAGAGCCCTTTATTTTAATTGCTCTATATTCATTAAAATATTTATTTTTATATTGTAAAAGATGTACAATATTCGTTGGAAAAGTTTTAATTTATGTCCCTACTACCCCGTAATGTTTTTGAAATTAATACGGACCCGAAATTGTATTAATTATTAAAAAACGGGATTATTTAACTTACATTGCACTAATTTAGATGGTAAAATTTGAGATTGCATCCATGAGTTTCGGGATGACTTTCAGGCCCCCTAATCTGGACATGACATAAATCGCGATCCTTTAAGTATTAAGTAAAATTTGTGAGACTCAATGCAAATTATTAACGTTTGGTTCAAACTGAACCATCTCATTTGATGATTTGACGCCGATTTCTACATATATGTTATGAGGTCGTTTTACATATATTTGGTGGTTGATATATTAGGGGACATGCTACTTCTGATGGATGCCTGTAATTTTGCAGAGAAGATGATTTAATAATAAATAACGAGCAAAAAAATTTGACACCGGCGCCACTGATGATTTCAATGACCTTGTTTTACATTTTTCTCCGTTGACAAGGGGAAGTCACGGTGATGAGATCTGGATTTAAATTAAAATTATGTCACACTAATCCACGTTGAATATATACCGTGACTTTTTGNATATATGTTATGAGGTCGTTTTACATATATTTGGTGGTTGATATATTAGGGGACATGCTACTTCTGATGGATGCCTGTAATTTCGCAGAGAAGATGATTTAATCATGATGATTGAACAAGACTCGATTCTTCACATGTCTGGCGCTGGTATTAAATTCTGTAGTTCTAATATCTTTTTTATATATTAATGCCCCTTTTTCAAAATCAACATATTCATTTTAACGTTAATTAAAATGACCTAACAAATAGGCTCATGCTATTTGTATGTTGTAATATTTCAATATAGGTTTTTTTTTACAATGTTTTTAGTCTGTTCCTATAGATGTTTTCAAATGTCATTAGAAGAGCGTAACCATTGCTGATTTTACGATCATTTGCTAAATAAACATTATTTATTTGACAAACTATTTGCGTGGTTTGTAAATTGAGCAATCGAATTTTCTATTTTCACACCATCTCCCGCCAATGTCCGTATTTAGTATGCATAATGCGGTAACTATTACCACAAGAAATACGAAAAGTAGGGTGTTGCAGAATTACTCCAAATCTGTCCCCTGGTCGTTGAAACGTTTCATTTCCGATAAATCATCTGATCGCGTTCAAAATTTGCTTTGCATTTAATATTTATAAGATAAATTTTTATTGATTGATTTCTTAAGTGTACATTTTTGTTATAAAAATCTTTATGCGAAGCGGTTTAAAGAACGCCATGATTTTTAAGTGAGTATTTATTGGTTTAATATATCTTAAAGTAATAGATTGTAAATTACAACAGAAGAATATAAAAGTCGTAAAAGAATATAACAAAATTTCCTATTCTATCTGAAGACAAAAGTTCTGAATTGTTAATTTTTAAAAATAATGTGCTTTACAATTTAATTCTATGTTTTTTTTTATTTATGTAAGTTGATAAATCATAAAAACAGGGTTTTGAGATTTTTGATGATATTGTGTGTTCTATTGTATAGAATGAGTGGTGTTTTTTGATATGTGTCAAAAGACGAAAAGTAGATTTTCAAGAATTGTTTTTGTGTTCAAAAAATATTGTTACATTTAGTAGCCATTGAACTAAGATAGTTGTGGGTTATAAGGCATAGCTAGACCGAATACAAAGCTTAATAAGGGTAGGCCTACCTTAATAAATTTGGTTTTTTCTTTTATAAAAAACTATTCAATTTAATTACACTTAGAATTTTGACACTTATTTAAATTTAAAATGTTTCATTTTTATCATTACAATGGAGAACTCTTACAACTTTTTTTTGAAAACACTTGAAAAAATAGAAGATGATATTTTTTTGTTATGTAGACCGAGTAGNGATGATATTTTTTTGTTATGTAGACTGAGTAATAAAAAGCAAATCTACAGGAAAAGTGCAAGTAGTGAGAACCCCATTGAAATAAAAAAATGTTAATTTTTTTTTCAATATTAATTAAAATTTAGAGTATTTAGGTCAAATTTAATTGAATCCTAATAAAAAAGTTTTTTTGTTCAACTTTTAAAATGGAACATAAAATCCGTATTTCTTTTCTGCGTTTTTCTTCTGTTCAACTTTCACTTATAGACTCTAGAAATTATAATCGTTCGAAACATAAGATTGAATTGATGCTCAATAGTACATTTATTAAAAATATTACAGTTTTTAATAAAAATAAAATTTGAAATAATTTTACGATGTAGTTATTAAATCGAAACTAACTTTTTCAACTAACAGAGATATATTTAGATTTAGTTTATTGGCATATATTAAAATATGTATAAATTATTTCATTAGTTTACTGTAATAAATTTATTGAATTCTCGAATTTTTATCAATGACAGAGCAAGAATATCAATTAGTTCAAAAACTATTTAATAAAACTCAAAAAAAAAAAAAATGTTAAAGGTGTCTATAATTTGAAAAATCAGTGAGATAAAATGTTTAAGTTAAGAATTAATGAATAGAGAATTAAATATTACAATTAATAAATTAAGAATTAATTAAAAAATTATAAATTATTTATATCTGAATTTTTGTTTAAAAATTAAATAATAAAATTCATTAATTTATGGTCAAACTAAAAGAAAAAGAGTTCATATAACACAAGTTTAACGATTCCTAATAAATGTATAATTAATACATATTATTCAATGTTAAATAATATAAGTTCAGTCAAGTTTTTGTTGAATTTTGAAACTTTAAATATATAAAGATAAATAATATATTTTTATATATTAAATTACTCATCTACCAAGTTATTTTATGTATTTA